TTAACGATTCTGCAGGACAGTGTGTAATTATTTGTGATTGTTCATCGTCCATTCATAGATGTGTTATGTATCATATGTATTTACTTATTTCTTTGTGGCTATTGACACTATTAAAACATATGCAAATGAACATCAACTATTAGAACTATCAAGAATTTCTTCTCTTCTTCAGAAAGTCATTGTTGGCTAGAAGATCCTCACTTGTATTCCCAAACCTCTCCTCCGGGGCACCTCAACCATTCCATGTATTCGTTAAATTTCACCACCAGCTCACTTAATTAATTAACTTAATTAGGTAAATAACTTGATGAGATATCGATTACCCATATAAGGTGTGCTAGTGGTCATGTCAACACATACATCGGTATATTGCACAGTTACTGCAAATTGTGGTGACTTTAGGGGAGATTTGGAAATGGCTAAGCTGACACACTCTGACAGACATAACATCATAGTTTTTTAGATGTTCATGCAACCCTTTCTAAGGTCTGAGGAACATTAAGAAGTCTTCCACATGGTCTTTTTAATAATAAGCTGAAATCATGGAGAAATCAATTCAGGAGGCATTTCCGGTGATATTAAGCATTAAATGAGATCTCTGCTGACTAAGCTGCACTTTCTTCTGTAAATAATGTTAGATGGCCCAAGGAGAGCAGGAGCTCTGATCTACCCATGTATGATGCTGGTTCAAGTTGCAGAGATTGGATCCAGGATCATTTAGAGGTGCACCAGAAAGCGAGCCGGTCATTTGATACATCGGAGATATTGCGTTACATTCTGGCATCCCTCTAGAAAGTCTCTTCAGCGGCCAATTATAATGAATGATTTAGGACCTGCTGACGCAGGGTCATTGGTGCCAGACCACAGCAAGCCGTACGAGTTCAGACTTGGGTCTGAAACATTGCCACCGTCCAGTTTGAGGCCAGCACTTCCACGGGGTCAGGTTTTAGGCTGGTGGGGGGCAGAGGAAACGGCTCGGTGTGAAATTCGGTAAGGTGGGGCTGGAAAGCAGCAGCTAGCAGTGACCCTCCCTGGACCCAGGAAGGCAGTCGTGACATCATATCGGTACCAATGCACCAGCACCCCCAGCATAAATCCAGCCAACAATACTTTAACATGCAATCTCAGTGTAATTCTCAGTTGACCTCATGACACGTATACGGTACTGTATCTTTAAGACAGAGTTTACCTGATTTAATCCACTTCAAATCAGCCATCAAGTGCCATTTTTGTATAGTTCACCAACAGCTCCGCACACTGCAGAGCAGCTGATCGACGGATCACCATTCAAGAGTGGGTCGCGTAACGGTTTGCCAGGAAAGTCATTTGCCGTTGGGCCCCATCATTGTTTCCACAAGCGGCACACTCGTGTCCATTATGAAATTAATGCACGTTCTTAATTCTAAAGTGGAGATATCCAGCTGGAGAGCTGCAAGCTTAATGGCACTCGGGCAACAGCCCTTGTGATTTCATCACTGCCATGGAGAAGGACGTGCAGTTCCTATTCTCCATGGAAACCTGCGTTCGGTGGAGCTCTACAAATTATTCCCAGTGTTCTCTAGGTGAGCGAGTGAGTCGGTGTCACAAACAAACGTATGAGGAATCCGCTACATGTTACGATAGCTACAGGAATATATCAGGCAGTCTCACAGGGGGAAGAAACTACTGAAAGTTTATAGTAGAAAGGGATCCTGCGTTTCCACACCTCTGTCCATTTTTGTGCTGTGAAGGTTGTGCGTGGATGATGCTATAAATGTTAATAAATATGATTCTTTTTATTTGAAAGTGAAGTCTCTCATGTTGAGGAAAAATGGAGAATGCAAGGCTAGTAATGCATTCTAATTCATATGCGTATGTGTCACCTTATCGTCATAAATGAAATGTTAAAATAACGTTACCTGGTAACTGATCTCTCCTTCCCAGCCACAAGCACCGTGGGCGCCTTGACAAGCATAAATTATGATAATAAAATTTCATTTAAAAAACACTTTATTTCAAAGGTCTCAGTCCTTTGAATGTGTCAGGAAGATATAGTGCACTACCTGGAGAGAAAACTCTCTTCAATTAGAACTCAGAAATATTAAATTGTAAAATCCCCCAGCTCCGGGAGGGCATAGTGAGGTTCAGTCTGTGCTGGCAGGGAGATATTGTCTGAATCCTGTGTGTTTAGTGTAAGATGATGAAAATGTACGATACATAAACACATGACATCATGACTGAGTTATTGTGAGGTCACCTTTTTCCCAACCAAAGCCCCCTTCCCTACACAACGTATCTCCATAAATGGAACATAATCATTGCGCGTAAACTCATAGGTCTCACATGAGTGCCACAAAACCTTTATTAGTCATGCTTATGAGCATCTCATGAAGACCTTATGTAGGACCAGAAAATACTTACACTTATTGTGTATAACCATAATTATACAAAATCTGGATTTATAATTCAAATAAAGACATGGTACATCCCTAGGAATCATACAACTATTGATTACTATGAGTTTAATTTTTAGATTGAAATAAGTCCAATTTCATATTGCAAAACTGTCTTCTTTTCAAAGCACACCAGAGAATATCCCCGACATTATTTTTTAAGGTTTGAAAATAAACACCCATGTATCTGTACTCAGAGTCTTTAGGACAGCCCATTTATAATGCGGCAAAATAAATAAAATCCCAGTTGCATATAAATTTCCCCTCATCCAGCATGAGATGTTAATTGAACAGTTCCACGGTTACCATGACAAACTGCTTATTGATTGTCCCCTGCCTCTGTTACCCTCCCCTTCTCCCTGCAATCCTGGCTCCTGTGGCTGGCAGAGCAATCTAGCAGGGTGGGGGACACGGCCCCAGTTCTCTGGGTTCAATTACAGCTGGGAGAAGGTTAAATCAATAGCATTTAAATTTCCTACGGTAATCACCGCACTCAAATCTTCGGGGTCAGCATAAGCAGTCCGCTCACCTCAGGTGGCCAGCTTCCGCAGAGCAAAACAGGCGGCAGCTGACACAAGATTCTCTTTATTGTTATTTCATAGGGCACGGATGCGCCCCCTATGGGCAACACAGGTAGCCACGGGTCTTCAGCCATAATCTGGGGGAGGAGCCGAATAGAAAGCGAAAAAGTTGAAAAAGGTGGGGAATAAAATTATATGGTGGATTTTTTTGTCCAAGATAGTTGTGTACCCATCCATTCTACCTCAGCAGAAATGTTGTCAGTTGTCACCCTGGAAAAGACCGGAACAGACATCACTGCAGAAGAAGTTCTAAGCATAGCGGCAGAACGATTTACTTCCTGTGTGGCCCCCAACTTCCCAAACCGTGCTAAGCCACCAAATTTAATGTTGCGGAGAGCAAACATATTATCTCAATCTCCAAGCAATTTATCAGTCCACAGGCCTGGCGTCAAGTTCCTGTGAGCTACTCATTAATTTCACACGTCCCGGAAATCGGCGCGGCCACGTCGGAAAGGATGGTGCAAATCCGGAGTCTTTTGCCTAATTAAGCCCTTGTTCGGCTAACAAGCCTTATAATAATGCACCGAACGTTTCCCAAGAAATGCGCGTCACGCCATCTTGGCGTGATGTGCAGCCGTGACTCGCCTGTGTCTCAAAGCCATGACGTCTGGAACCATCCAAACTAATAAGTTCACAATTAATGGCCTTCATTATCTCACACGAGCACATTAAACATAATTGAGTTCTAGTAACCAAGGGAAACGCTTTCAATAGCTTTCAATAATGGTTTAATGGGATTTATTAATACATAATTGCTGCACCCCTCTCTCCATCTGCCTTTATGTAACACGCAGCCGTTGAGCCTGCCAGTCTCCCCACTTTCAACTCCATAGGTCAGAACTGTACCCCCGTCTCACTAATTAATGCTGATATCAATGCCGGAACCTTGAAGAGGGAAAAGGGGCTCAAATTCATATACAGACAGGACTGACGGCAGGGGGGGAAGGAGCGGGATGCGGCAGGAAACGGCACGACGGAGGCCGGAAGGCAGAGGAGCAGACTGCACTTGTGGGAGCCGTATCGGTATGCGTATAGGAAGCCAGCTATTTTATTTAAAATCTATTCCAGCGCAGGTAGAGAGCAGACTGTGCTTTATTCTTTAGCCTTTAGCTTGCAGTTGAAGGAGAGTATTTTGTTACCTGATTAAGCACAGAAGCGAATTCCAGGTGTCCCAGATGCTATTCCTGCAGCCGGATTCAATAATATCAATCGACATGATTTTATCTTTGAGGGCGCGGTCACCTCAGTCGATACTTAATCAAAAATTGTACTTCTAATTTAGATTAGCGAGAGGGGTCAAAGTTGATTTAATCTGTCCTGTTTATGCCTCTGGCTCTCCATTTCGCCCAGCCCCCCCCCCCCCAGCAGGAGTGGGGTTAAATGCAGTGAGAAGGTGGGGGGCAATTGATTAGTGTCTAGGGCAGGGTTACTCTCGCTTCTTTATATGGCTGAGTGGCTGAGAAGCAGCTCATCGTTTGGTTCCCCACCCCCCCCCCCGACCCCATGTTAGCAATTGCCATTTCAAGTGGTTTGCTTGGGCCCTTCCGCCTGGGCCCACAGCTCCCAGTTAATTCAGTGCACCAGGAACCATTCTGGAGTATGTTCCATAAAAGCTCCTGATAGGAACGTGTTTAGTTGGAGCCATTCAGTTATGCGGTTTCAACTGTGCAAGTTGCTAATGCTGTTAGCAGCCAAGCTTTAGGCAAATGGACCCCTGACCAGCGCAGACATGATGTCCAGTTTCACTCACAAAGTCTCCTATATATTTCCTGTTTAAGTGTCAAGCACAAGTCATCTTCAAGCCTGCAGATGCACAGTGAACATACTGAAACTACTCAGATATAAACACATTGTTATAATCTTCGATTTTGGTTTACCATTCCACTTAAGCTTCAATGTCATAAAAAACACATTTTAAAATCCACAAATTACAGTATGATTCACTCAGATTGTGTGTAAATATAATAATTCCGGGACACTAATAAGATCTTTTTTAAGTGTTTATTTTGCGTTTTAATATGTCTCCCCCTACTGGACATATTCTCATTCGGCCAAATACACATTGATAAGATTGCGCTATTGGGTGTGCCGCGATAAATTTAAAAAATATATATTTTATATTAGACCCAACACCTGCGTTCAATACAGTGTGAAACACAGGGATCACAACACAAATGTGATAGAATATATATTAAAAATGCCTTGGAAAGAGAGATGCGGGTCTACACAATCCCCACACCTGTAGAAATGTTTTAAAAACTGACAGCTTACAGCACCGAGTAGCACACATCGTTAGAGCATTTTTTTAGACAAGCCGACAGACAGTGAACATTTCCAGAAAAAAAAATAAACACCTTTAAAGCTATCTTATTCCTACAAGGAGTAGTGCAGGCCAGTGTTAATTTTATCACATCGACACACACTGGAAAGTGTTACAAGATAAACCAGTGGGTCTTACTGCTCTTGGCAGATACAGTATATGTTTGACAGTGAAATGAACATGGTTGATGAAAAACAGCACCGGTAACCCACACAGCCAATATTACATTGGCAGAAGTATGATTTACTATTGCTTTACTATTTACTGTTGAGTCATTACAAGCACCCAGAGACAAAAAGAATCATTCATGTTGGCAGAGGGGGAGAAGTGACGGTGGCATGAGCGAGAGCACGGACATGGCACTCAGCAAGGAGCAGGAGTCTCCATGCGATTAACAATAACCCAATTAGCGCCTCCACTCTTCAGGCCAGAGGACATGAGCGACGGGTGAATGGGGCCTACCCTCAAAACATTTGTTTTCTGCTGCCATTTTCGTCCCTAATTAAACATGGACGTTAACGAGCCGCCTGGCAACCGCTAAGCATTAGGGCTAGGAGAAGTCACTGACACGAGCAGTTTATCGAAAAATCGATGTGCACCTGGTAATTGGACGGCCATCCTGCCGACCCTGATTAGCTCCCAACAAGGTGGTGACACGTCCTGGTGTGACGGTCTCCTCAAAACGTACACGCGGGGGGGGGGGGCTTTCTGGTGCGTCTATAGCGTGGATGTCCAGACAATAGACAAAGGCTGATACGGCAGCACATAATTAGATCTGTCTAACACTAGCATAAATTAAATCACCATATCTTATCGTAAGAGCTTATCATTTTCATTGTTTAATAGTGTAAATCATGCAGTTTACATTTCTCAACGCTGGTTCACTGTTGAACATTTTGGTTTCGTATGTCTGGGAAGACAGACGCGGGCAGCCAACTTAATGGAACATGGCTCTGGTGAGGACGTTGTATGCCATAGAGAAGGTGACGCACATTCCTACTATCCAGGACAGGCCCCTGCTGGGATTGGGCAGGGGGATCAGATAGGCTAGCATGTAGAAGAACCGGAAGCCCACAAAGATCCGGAAGTGGAGGAGGGCCGAGGAGAGATTGGTTTCCGTCAGGGAGTACAGCAGTCCAATCACCACGAAGGGAACGATGTTCTCCAGGTCGTTCTGGTGGCACCTTCGAAGAGGAGACATGGTCCTTTAGAGTATATTTGTCATTCATGCTTTGTCAGCTTTGCTTTTATCTCTGGAAGATAAAATCATCTTTACTTCTGTCTTAAGACAGCAGTTGCTTGAATAGGAAAGCGCAATGCAGGCAGAATGTTGTTTGAGCCATCTCTATAAAGAAACACTGCCACGAAATATGTTTCTGTTTACCATAGGTGGAAGGCAAATATACAGACATGGTTCTCATCTTGGGGCTTAAAGATCTCCCTTAGTCATGGTCAGTGACAGTGTAAGCGGTCTATTAACGTCTATGTGAACAGCTTTCTGTATATTTCCCATTTACTCACTCTTTCTCCCTACGGCAGCCATCAATACCTTGGTCTCCTGTCACCACGTCAACAGCTTCATGGTTGTCACGGTGGCACAATACATCGTCACTCAGCTTGATATCTTCTCAGCCACATATTCTCTATTTACTCAGTTAGCTGCTAAAATTCATGCTAAGATTCAAAATCTCTTTCAGCGGATGCAGAAATGTGAGTCTGGATGCTGACGGATCATTAATGCTCTGGTATTTTAAGCACAACAGCTGGCTGCACCTGCAGCGAAAAGCTGTAAAAGATACCGGCAGCCGCATTCGTCTGCCTCGAGACATTTGCTTAAATCGACTGTAAATTTAGGTTACAGTTTCTTAGTTGGTCCATCCAACGTTTGTGAAAATTTCAGTAGTTTCCAGTTGGAGTAGAAGTTTCAGTGGTGTGAAATGGGTTTTTGGACAGCTGAACTGGTCCATTAGTCTGCGTTAGGGACTGAAACTGTAACCCTAACAGTGCTATCTACTGATTAGCAGCACACACAGTTGAGGCCTAGTTAAATTCTTCTGGTTTCAGCTGAAGTTTTTACTAGGGCAGGCAACAGCTAACTAACAACTAGATTTGGTCAGTAGATGATTATGAACGTCCTGTTGTTGCCATGGTAATGCAGACATGCCCTCTGTGCAAAGGGGGGTTTAGAAAATGTCACATCTGATCTGTAATCAGGAGTGAGGCTGTGAAGAGGCTACAGACTGCTGGGCCACTGGAGGTCACCGTCCTTCCTGGGAATATCCATACCTCCGGGTCCGCTCGACGTCAGCGTCCGTGCGGAGCATCCTCTTCTTCTCCTCCATGGTCCTCCCAGACTTGACGTCCTCCGGGTTATCAAAAGCCTTCAAGAGTGGCAGGATATCTGCTCAGCGTTTGGACATGCATGCTGTTACTGTAACCATAACAAGGGGAAGCTTCTCCAGGAAGACCAGCTGACCCCAAGCTCTCATCAATGGAAAAAAGTCACGCTATAGAGTCAGCCAACTTAAAACATCATCTCGGAGTAACGCTACCTAATCTCACAGGATGATATCCTCTTATACATCCCTCTAGTACAGGGTCCTGGAGGGGCGGAGCCTAACACAGACAGCAGAGGGCATAAGGCTGGGGCATACAAACACTAGTTAGATTAGCATTTCAATCAAATCAAAGGCCTAAGAAGTCTATTTGCCTGGTTGTGTGTGTGTGTGTGTGTGTGTGCGCGCGCGCAGTCCAGGTATACATTACATTGTGGGGACATTTGCTGATAAAGCCTGTTATTTTGGAATTGTGGGGACATTTTTCAGTCCCCACAAGGGGAAATTTAATGTTATAAAAATCTATGACTGCAATCACAAAACTAAAAGTGTAAACATTGTTTACATAGGGTTATGGTTAGGGCTCGGTAGGGGTTAAGGTTTTGCCAATAAAAATGAATGGAGAGTCTCCGCAAAGATGTGAGTACAGGTCTGTGTGTCAGTGTGTGTGTTATGTGTGTGTCCTGTAATGGACTGGCAGCCCATCCATGGTGTCCCCTGCTTTATTCGCTGTGTAGCCTGGGACCCTGCTTTGTGGACCCTGTGTGGCAGCTCCACCCATAACCCTGCACTGAATAAATGATGGATGGATGGATCTCTGCAATGCTTTTCAATACAAACTGACAAAAATACTTTTAATTTTCTTTGCTGCCTTCTCTAGAAGTAACACTTCATGGGAACAATTCAAACACCTGTATCACAAAGCAGGATTTCTTGCTTAGCCGAATAACTTGTCAGATTCAAGGTAGTCTGGGGTAAATGTAAGTGGAGAGAAAATCCATTCCAACTCAGGTACCTTAAAATCTGACAAGTTATCCAGCTCAGCAAGAAAGCCGGCTTTGGGTTACAGGCCCCAGCTCGATGCCTGGTTGGGTGTGTCTGACTCAGTGTGTGATTTTGCTTCTGGGGGCATTTAACCCCGAGGCTCAGGTGCAGGGCACGAGCAGAATGAGCGAAGTCACCACATCACATACCTTTCGTGTCACGCGGTAGTAAACAGTCAGCATGGACACAAACATCATCTTGAGGATGACAACGGTGGCGTACGTGGAGAAGGCGCGGAAGACCTCGGTGTTGACTTCGAATGCCATTTCCGATTCGTTATGTCGGCCTGGTCAACCTGGAGCGGATGCACGAGAGAGCCAGCAACTAACCAGGTTAATACCTTCTGCATACTGGCCATTTACGTAAAGATGAGAAACTCCATTTTTCCGCGGAGTGTCATGGTTAATATTTTAAGTTGCTCTCTCAACAGGATTCAACCTACGTTTGAACCAGTTACTAATACAAAAATGTCCACTGAGGGACCAGAGTTTCGTTTACAAAGGCGTCCACAAAACTTAATCAAAAATGCCAGTTGCTGCGTTATCTTCCAGGCTACCCTTAAGGGTTCTTTTCGATGGACTTGGGCCAAATGCTCTTACGACTCGGGAAAATTCGTTATTCTGCATCTATAAGCCGCTAGAACAAAGCTATTCATTCTTTGCAAAGGTTCATATTCCCGCCTTTCCCCTCTATCCAGACTGACCCGAATGTAAAGTAAGCAGGACGCGTCAACAACAAACAGCAAAGGCTTGGCTACTTCTTCTTTCGGCTTTACGGATATTTGGGGAAAGCCCGACATGATTACTCTCTATCCTCTGCCAGTTTGGTTTTTAGTTTAAGGGGTGTTTAGTTTATACAATATTCCTAAACAACGAGAGATCTTTAACACTTACCCATTACCCTAGATCTAACCTCAACTGTTCAGCGCTGCATCGTATAGTTTATGGTGGTAAATACCTGTTTTACAGAACTTTGACATTTAAAAGAAACGGGAATGCGGAAATAAATTCTGAAGTAAGCCTGGCGAAAAATACATAGAAAGTTAAAAATGCATAAAGTGCACCAAAACGTAAAAGATTGCTACAGTACATGTATCATGTTTGTTTATAGTTTGGAATTTATGCTTATAAACGATTATGCAAAAATAAATAAATAAATAAATAAATCAAAAGTGATATAGCTAGGTCTGTTACTGAGAGTGAGACATCCGTTTAAATGTGCATTTAAAACTTTAATGATTCAGTACAATATACTAGCCTATAAAGGCAAAACACAGTAATTCGATATTTAATCAAAACTGAGTTAGACCCAAATCGGGTCTCGTAAGTTTTTATATCTCGTGACAAAATATCTTAGTTCAGCTATGCTGAGTTTTGAAGAAAACATGAGTGTGAGAATTACAATGACTAAAATACACGCTAAAACCAATGCAGACAACTTTAAGTTTCAGTGTCGGCGTACAGTTGTGCGTTTTGCTTCTGTAACGCAGAACTTGTGCCTAACTTGAACTTTAAGATCACTTCTCTTCACCCAGAAATAGACACATTCTGATTATAAAAACAACTGCAGCCATATGACTACAGTGCACCGAAACTTAATATCGCTTTACCTCGTTCTGATACGCAGCTTCTTTTCGGGACAGCAGCAAGGGCAAGACAAACCACTAAAATGAAACTGGAGCACATATTAGGCAAACGTCGAATTACGGGATTGGATAAACGCTTTGCTTTCTTACGCAATAGGTCACAATAGTTACGACCTAACCTTGAAAATTAACCATTCATGTCGGCATTGTACCATGTTTATACCCCCTGTTCATAATTTATAAATTTATGCATTCCTTGAATTAGTCCTATATTTTTGTGTACCGAATGACACCTGTAGTATTTTTTTTTGGGGGGTGGGGGCACTCAGCATTTTATTAGATGTGTATATTTTATTCATTGACTAATATATTTTTATTCCACTTGAAATCGCCTGGTGTCACATCGAGTATAAGTGGCATCTTGTCAGGGGGAGTCGGGAGCCGCGTCTGTCTGAGAGTGAGCGGTGACGCTGGCAGGTCTGGATTCCGCATGCCGGCCCGGGAAGAGCGATTCGACATGACAGCGTGTTTAAGGCGTGATGCGGCTGACAGGAGAGCCGCACAAGCGCACCTTTCAGAAGTTTGTTTTGCAGTTACTCTCTCACACAAGCGGAGAGCACAGGCGTAAGGTCGCGCTTTGCGTCGGTGCCTTGGCACACCAGGTCCGGAGGGTGACATCCGGCCTCGGTTATATAGGCTTAAGGGCAGTGCTGCCCGTTCCAGCAAAAATCGCCTGCCCAAGGTCTGCTTAAAATCCGCCCAACAGAAGTTGAAACTAGCCCAATATTTGAAATCCCAATATACTCTATCTCAAAGAAATAAACCGGTATTTTGCATGCTGATCACATTCAAATGTTTAACATTTTAAAACCACAGTGCACAATGACGTCACACAGACGGAAGAACTGCCCTTTCCCAGGTTTGCCAACTTTGGTCAACTGGCTGGAGTGAGATTTTCAATTCGAGACCTGCAGTCTACACACGAATTTACATATTATGTTACAGTTTTATTACCTTGTAAATAGCGTAAAGAGTTTGCAAACTACCCCATCGCTAATTTAGGTTTAAAATGTTATAATATAGATTAATCTCTTGCGTGAGAGTCTGAAAGCTTGAGTGTCACGCCAGATGCGTGAGATTTGGCAATCCTGCTTTCCGTGTACATCGGTCACTGACTTTCGGTGGTTTGCGATTCAGGATGACTCAGCATTAGGAGCCACCTGCATTTATAATATTTCATTTCTTTTCATTTGGGGTAAAAAAAGCAATGAAATCAGCCCTAAAAACCGCAACCTCCTAATATTTACCCGCAACTGTATTTTTAAATTAGGCAAATTGGGTGGGGAAAACCGCGGACCTGGTAACTCTGCCTATGGCTGAGAAATAAAAGCATCGGTACCGAGTGCGTGTGTTTAGCTCATTTGAAAGACATTTACCTGCCTATGTCAGGTGGACAATCTCGTCACTTTATATACTACTCTCCAGAGCTCCAACGGGGACGGAATTTTCAGCGGGGAGAGTTCCCATTTAGTCATTCTTATCTTTTATTAAACAAACATGGAACAAAATCTATTGGCTGATTTATTTACAATAAAGGAATGCTTGTCCTGCTTATTTCACGGTCGGATGTTTTAATTAAAGATATAAAATAGACAAATATCAAGTAAAATTTAAGAAGACATACGCAGGACTTAAGTGTAATTTAATTCAGCTACGAATGAAATGCTAGAATTTCACCCATCATCACGGACTTGATCCAGAATTAAAAATTAGAATAATTTTATAAAAATATGTCTTACTATAATACTGTGATACCTCATTTTAAATAATATATATATATATATATATATAAAAAAAACCATTACAGTGAGATGTAATAACACAATGCATACGAGTTCCTAATCATGCGCCACATCGGTGGCACCTTGAGGGGTAGAAACGCATCACTACGGTAATCTGCGGTGGGCTGCCCAGGAGATGCCCTCCCCAGGTTTTAACAAGAAGCGCGTTCCGCCCCTGACACGTGCATGTGAGCATCCAGCAGGCCGCAGGTTACGAGCTAGGAGCTCCGCGCTCGTGCGTGATGCTCAAAAGACGCCTCAGCTGTTTAGAAATTAACTCACGCAGCTCCGTCCACCACTGGTAAATTCTCTGTGGGAAACCGTTCCTCCACTTAATCAGACTTTTGCCAAAATCTATCATTTCACTCCGTGTGCTTCTGGGGGGAAAAGACAAAAACAGAAGGAAGATGAAATCATATTAACTGCGGCGTGCTCTCCCACCAGGAACTGTGATGGCAAACACTTGCATCGATTTCTCGACCATTTTGCCAGTAATTGGGATGCTGGATGCAACACCCTCTTATTGATTTTAAATGGCAGTCGGCTTATACCCTGGATGTAAGGCTGCATTGACTAAATTACTGCCTTCCCAATGATCGTGATGCCAGAACCCGAAGGCTGGTATTGATTCCTTTACTGAAATCCTCCTGAACAGGTTCCAGGCACCATACGTTTTTTATTGATTGACACCAACGTCTACACTGTTTTCTTGAGGCAAGAAATCACAAGTGTACAGTATACTATCCTAATCATGCAGCGTGGATTGCTTGTAGGATCGGGGCAGGGTGGTCCTTTGCACACATTCATTGCAAACATACATTCATACCACGGCAATCCACACACTACAATCGTAGTTCAGAGGTTAATGAAATTGAACGTATGCAAAATTAAGATGAAGGTTCACGAATTAAATTCGGATATCGACTGTCTCCTTGTCAGGTTTAGATCTACCGTCAGGGAAAACCCAAACTTCGACTTGGCTTTGTTGTAATCACGAGAAAGAGGTGTTAGCGTAGTTGCACAGTGTAAAAATAAATAGTGGGGCATATTGTCTAAACATCTATGAAACTTCTCATGCAGTAGACTAACCTGCAAAAGCATTAACGCGCAGTTCTTGTTGTGTACATCCAAAATCGAGGCTTTCCCCCGGTAAAGTGGCAGCTTGATGATAATTAATATGAAATGTGAATCAGGAGATTTGACGCGCCGAGAAACACGTAAACATGGTTCATTCGGTCAACAAAGCCTCTAACCACCTCCTTGCCATTCCTCAGAAAAGGAGTTTCAGGGAAGCGGCACTCTGTGAATCCGAGGTCCCACACTTTGCACGGCTAGCTTAATTACAGCCTCCGCTTTGGTACACCGTTTTCACGCCGTAGTGGGACATATTTGGTGTGATCGTGGCAGTCTCTCCCTAATGGAGACTGGCTTAGTCGGAGCTGTTTGTGCAGGACGATCGGAGTATGTTAGGTTCCGCCTCAAACCACCACGTAAGTGTCCGATGCTGAAAGATGCCTTATAGCTCGCCAGATTCAGTCGCTTTTCATGCAGGAATGATTCGGTGTATATGTGTCGTTAACCGTTTCAAATAATCGCATAAGTACGTCGCACACAGGCATGGTGTTTTCCAACCCCTTATGCGTACCCCAATGGTAGAGTTTTCTCGAGAAAAAATAATGGTTCTGATCTTCGAGTGCATACCCTTATATCCAGATATTTAAGCCAGATCCACACATCCCACTGAAATAATCGAGTCAAGCGGGCTGCTTTGGCAACAATGTAAATAAACTTTAAAGACCGATTATAACATTTTTAAAACACTGACTTCGATTAATCTGGTCTTCATTTGGTCTGTTCTCTCATAACTTAACTAGTAACGTTGAAAGATTTTATTTAACTAGGCCTAATTACTTTAATATTTTCACGATGCCCCCGACCAAGAACAACACTTGCTAATACTCCTATATGTGTTCTGATGAGACGATGGCCATGGTGTTCTGGACCTTCACCTGAAGAATCTGAATAGCTGTGTTGTTATCAGTGCTGCCTCCATAGAATAAACCAATAAATACAGCCTTAGTGCTTCAGGCATAGGTGTAGATCTTCAGAAAGAATATTCACCTATTTGTTTTTGATTTTTCAAATTGGACTACTTGCGAAAAAAATCCTTTCTCTTTGCCTGCAAAATTTGAAAAGGATAAGTACTATATCAAGGCTAAAAGGCTTGAAGTACTCTGTTTTATGCAGGGGGGAAAAAACACAAATCACTCCACTAGAACATGAGGTGAAAAACAATTCCAGTTCATTAATTGGGATAAGTTGTGCTCTTTTGAAGAAAAAGTAAATTATACAAAACAGCTAGTTAATAGTCTGGTGAGCACCTGATTTAATTATGATTAAAGCACTCAGCATTCAGCCTGCTCCCCAGTGTGAGAAATTCACTGAATTATTAGGGGGGGTCCTTTTAATAATATGAAAGGACAAACAGGCAAACAAGCTGGGGATTTCTAAAACATAATAAGTCGGTTCCAGCTTCAAAAGGAGCCTTGGAGTTGACAGGTCAGATAATGGAGCAGAGCGACTGAAACAAAGTCCAGGTGGAGATGTGTGGAAACTG